TGTTCACAACTCTTTACGCCACTGATTGTCACAAGAGTCAGTTTTCTGGAAGAGGAAACAAACACAATTTGCTGGCAAAACCCTGAAATCATGGCTTGTGTATGCTAATCTGCACTGTATACTATGCTGCTAGAGGCTCAGAGAGAAAACTTCATTCCAGAGGCTTGCGGTTCAATGAATATATCAGCTAAACCACAATGACAGGTAGGAGATGGCCATGAAGTGCATCTGCAGTGCCAGGAAGTTCAGCTACAGCTGGCAGGTTCTAAAAAGAACCAAGAGAAAAACACTATCCCCCAAAAGTGGAAGTACACACTACTTGGAAGATGACTCAATTCTGCCAAGCAGTTAGCTGGATTTTGACTTAGTGATATGCTGGCTCTATTGATCAGGTTTATAGTGAAGCACATTAAAGTTGCCATATTTAACATTGCAGCACAGAATTTTCATAGAAGATGGTGACATGGGTAAGATCATTACTACAGAAAAGATGAGTATGCTAAGAAAATCTTAGTGAAGAGCAGTAAATACTGCAAGTAACTGAGGGGTTTGTCAGTTACTTAAAAATGCAATTTTATCTATATAGATACACAACAAAGGACAGGTTAAAATGTTTCATTGGATTTTCTAGAACATGAGAACCACAATAAACAAAGTCCAGACTATTTTAAACAGCTTTGCATAAGCATGTGATGATCCTTGTTTTAGTTTGGTCATGAGAGCTTCGCTGTTCCAACAGATCCTGAACTACAGGATGTTTTGCATTGTTTCCAAGTAGTTTGGGTTACAGCAAAACAACAGAACAGAACAAAATGTTATTAGCAAGAACTGGCTGGAACAAGCTGTGACAATTTAAAAAATTCCCATCAAAAAAAGCAAAAATTAACTGATTACAAAATGAAAAGCAATGCCCCTACTGTTACTACCCCAGTAGTGCAGCTTTTTTTCTTAGAAGAAAACATGAATACTGCTATGGATATGCTTCACAAAACTTGATCTCATGACCCAGTAAGGCTGCTATTTTACAAAACTCAAAATAGCAGGCTTTGCTTCTGTGCCAGGGGAAAAAAATGGGAAAGTTATGTACTTTTTTTTCTTCAGATGCTAGAAAATGACAGACATAGTTCTTTCATCTTACGTCCAACGTGTGCTGAACCAAAATATTCCTTATTTGGTAAACCTGGACATTGATTTAATGCAAAACAGAATAGAGAAGGTAAAAAAGAATGCATATAATTCTGGGTCATTAAAATTGTTGTGATCTATCTATACGTACTCGCCCCATCTTTAGACTGTCATCAGCTTTACAGTGAAAAGATACAGCCAAACATTGTGCATTACACAGTAGCACATACTGTTCTTAAGTCATATCTGACATCCTACAGAAGTTTACTACTGCCTGCCTGAACAGGATTGTTGCACATTAAGAGGGGGTCTCGTGAGTGGAGATTGGCCACAATAACCACCAAGCGATCGAGTCTAAAATCTGCAGTGACAGGAGGAAAAGTGCCAGCAAAACTTCAACTCCAGACATGAGAACAGACTCCAGGCTGCCCAGAGAGCTGGTTAGCAAGGTTCTCTGGGGAAACTGCCTTTGAATACTTAAAGAATGCAGTCATTGATTGCAGCCAGCACAGCTTCATGAAGGGGAAGACCTGCTTATCAAACCTGATTTCCTTTTATGACAAGGTAACCCACCCAGCTGATCAGGAGAATCCAGTTGATGTAATCCTTTTGGATCTCAGTAAAGCTTTCCATACTGTCTCTCACAGGACACAGCACACAGCTGGATAAACACATCATAGGATGGGTGAGCAACTGGCTCCCCATTGAGCTACTCCTGTTTATAATACATACCATTACTGTTTTTGGGGCCCCATTTGTACAGAGGGAGGGAGATTACTCATAAGAAATCCAGGTGATTTTCAGAGTTCAATAAATACTGATTTACCTAAGCTGACTACATTTCTTGGTGCTTGCATCCTTACACTACACCACAGATAAAGGACTGGTAATGTAATGTGGACAGTTACAAGGTGGTGCAGAGTCAGTCCAAATCTAGTACAGGTAACACTGATATGGATCTGATGTGCAAATAAAACTTGATCCTATTCCTATTTAACTACTTGTGCATTCACACTGTAACTGCATCTGTCAGTTTTCAGCACTGGCACAACAAACCACAAACACATGGAGCAATCCCAAGTCTGGTATCACTCTTTATAAGCTCTACCCAAACTAGAAGCACCAGGACTTTACTATGCATGCTCCAGCTTCTTTTGAAGTGCCAGATTTGATACCACTGACAGCTCAGCATCAGCACTACAGCTTGGTTGCAGGTGATAGCTGCTCCAGGGTGTGAAGAATGTAATTATGTGTTATGTGTAACACATGGGGGTTTCCCATTCGGTCAGGTATCCCCACCTGCATTGCTGCCTTATCTTCAGTAACAAAAAGCCTTGACTAAAAAAGAAAAATCCCCATTATCAATATGAAAAGAGAACAAAGAATTTTCTCCGCAGGGCAAAATACTGGCAAAAATGTCATTTTAATTGCTATGATTTTAACTTTACTTATAAAAAAAGGCAACGTTCACAGTTAATATATTGTAGACAGCTTATTTCATCATCTCTGAACACAAGATGGGATGTTCTGCACTGCAAAACAGGCAAGGTATGAACAAACACCCACTGCTCTCAGAACCACCACCTGAGTTATACAGTCCCATACAAGCTCCAAAATTTAGAATTAAAGGACTTTAGGGAATTTTGATACTGAATACTATGCAAATGTCCTCTAGTCACATGGATGCCTGATTGTCATCTTCCCTTTAATTTTTGTTCATGAAGTTATTAGTGATGTTTTCCATACATTGTTAAAGCTGATCAAGAACAACCTATCAATGGATGATCCCTTGTGGCAGACTAAATGATGACCCTAAGCCTACTCAAATTCCAGATTGTTACACATCTGGAGGACTAGGAAGAAAGGCCCTAGGGGTTTTCAAAAACTGAGCTATCACTGGTAGCTGAAGTAACACAGATGTTTCTAAATGTGCCACTAGCTGCAGAAACGCACTGATTGTTGCACAAACCCACACAGAAATCTCAGATAACCAACCCAAAACCAGAAGCAGGGGTGCTTATTTTACCTACAGTACACTATTTGGCATGACAGAAGCTGAAATTTGGAGGCACAAATAGAAATCCAAGAAGTTTTGTGAAGTCCACAATTCACTATAGAGTTGAATCTTCTCAACTCAGTTATCACATAATGTTAGCATTATCATTTATTAAAGCCACCAAACACAGAATTGCAGCTTCTTTACTACAATTAACTTGAAAAATACATAATCAAGGGGCTTTAACTGTAAAGCACAAAGAAAAAAATTAACCAATCTCAGTTTCTGACAACTTATGAGGCCTTTCCCAAATGCCTTGAAAAAAAAATCAGAGAATTTTGGAATAATTAAAGCCAATACGAGAAGAGCACAGCATAGGAACAAAGGTAAGGAGTTATGTTGCATTAACTTGGCATTCTTTCAAGGAGACTTGTATGCAACTGTAGGAGGCAGCGGGTCTGGATGGTCGGGACTGACGGAGAGATCTCTAAAGGCAGGTGTTGGAACTTCTGGTTTATTGCAAAGGGCGTGGTTAAAAGGGCCCTGCTTGCAGCTGCCAGCTGCAGCTTGGAGCAGGCCTGTGAGAGCACTAAAAGAAGAGAAGTAAAAGAATAAAGTAAGAGAAGTAAGAGCAGTGAGAGAAGTAAGAGCATAAGAGAGGTAAAAGCAGTAAGAGAGCGAGGTTCCCGTTACTACACAATAAATCTTCTTCTGTGTTGAATATTCTAATTTTCACTAACCAATCTAATACAAGATACAAATCCTATAGCATTTACATACAGCCTATAAGAATCACTACATTGCCATACTGTGTTACACTTTAAACCCTAAAAACCACTCTTTGGACCCTCTTTACCAAGCTAGTAGGGTCTTCTCTGCCCTTTGGACTTATCTGCAAGCAGAGAGAATTGTTCAATCAAAACGGGATTACTTTAAGTTGGCCATACTATTGTTTTCTAGTTGTTCAGTAACTAAGGTTTTGTATCTCAAAGATGGCTTTCATTTCGATCTTACTTATAGTTTCCATATTCTCAAAATCTTTTGCCAGGCAATCATATTTATAAGGTTTTCTATTTTCATCTTCCCCAACATGCAACAACTAAAGCTCCCTTTCTCCTCTGCCTCCTCCCTCACAACTTCATCATCTCCCTATTTACTGCTGAGGCTGGAACCTCTTCAATTGAAGCAAAACAAAAAGGCTTTGTTTTTCACCTTCAAGTTTTTGCACTCATCTCCAAACCCAAAACCTCTGAAGGAGGAAGAATTGCTTCCCAGAGACATTCCTGTTGATGGACTTTGTCTATGATCCTGTCTAGCCCCAACATTGTTTCTGGCACTGCCCAAAGCCTTGAAACCTGGTAGGTGACTAAGCCAAAATTCCAAAGAACACTACATATAGAATATTTTCCCTAAATAAATGTAAGCTTCAGAGCTGTTTAATTATAGAGGGCATATCTTAAATCCATGACATGCTCTCCAAATAAATCAGTCCAAAAGACTGGATTCGGAATCACAGCTCAAGGTTTTTCCTTCTGCTTTTGCCCTATATCCTCATATAAACCTGACCAAATATGGTCTTCCTTACTTCCCCACAATTAAACCAGTAATGTTGTAAGGCTTTCAACATCAGGCCATGGAGAGAATGAACATGAATGTAAGAATTATGTCAAGACACACATACCACAAAAACTGATATTAACTTTACACGAAGAGCCAAATAGCTCAGATGAAAAATACAGCTCAGAGCATAAAATTTCTTTTAAAATACAATTAAAAGGCAAGTAATTACCAGAGAAACACTAAAAGTCATCAAGCATTTTGATGACAATTTCATAGAATTGGAAGTTTAAAAAATAACATTAAAAGGAGACACCAAGAATTTCAAAAACCTCTGTTTTATTTGTACAGAGTAAAATACATCATATAGCGAACACTGTTTTCCACCCATAACCTAAAACCATTATTGTGTTCTTTTCACCAAACATCCTGGCCAGAAGCACAGACAGTGGAAATGGGAATGCTAATTAGTCTCTCTCTGCCAGAGCTACAAGGTGCACATCAATCTCTGCTTCTGTAAGGATCCTGAAAGAACAAAAAGAAATCTTAAATAGCTTAAATGATTCTTCCCCTTAAGCTCCAATATTACAACCTAGTATCTATACAAGTAAGTTTTACAGGAATACATCTTTCTGCCCTTTAAAGCCCTGCTGCCAGTGCCACAGGCTGACATTCCAATTCTCTTGAAAAAAAAAGGAAGAATTAAAGTCACTAGAGAGCAAGCAGGTAACAAATGATAGAAAAACAACAGGTAATTCTTCATGAGTAATGCATCTGCAAGTTCAGATCTAGTGAGAAGGCAGCTTGATCCCTTGAGTGGCAGTGGAAAAGGGGTCATGCAGCTCCTGTGTGCTTTCTCACAAACACTGTGCTGTTCTCTTGTCCTCAGCACACACCACCAAATGCAAAACCACCCATCATCACCCTGTCCACCTTGAAAACATAAGGAAGGAAGCATTTAAAAGACTGAACCTGTAGGACCCAAGCCTCTCTTCAGTCCCCATTTACCAAGTAGTTAGACTGAAGTAACAGTGGACTTCGTTCCCAATTTAACTGTTCCTCTCTTTTTTCTTTAAATAAAAAACAAAACAAAAAAAAAACCCCAAAACAAACCAATGAAAGACTAAAGCAGAAATAACTAAATCCCTCTGCAGCAAACCAGATTTACCTAAATTTTAGGTAAGCCACACCTGGAGGGTTCTTTTGCATTATAAAAAATCCCCCAAACTTTTTCTCCCACATTTCATGCATACTTCTGCAGCTATACACTGTGTTATGAGAAGGCTGTCAAGTACACTGTATCTGATGTGAAGCCTTCCTGCCCTCAGCAGCAAGACTTCCAGGTCTTGTCTTGACACACTGGTCAAATAAACTTGGTGCACACAGTGTGCTGCAGGCAATAATGGAGGAGGGAAGAAATAGCAGGTGCCTCACTTTCATGCTAGATGGGAATGCAGAATACTCGGAAAGTAGATAGTTCAGCCATTTTCAAATTACTAGTGATTTTTTAAATCCATGATCTTTCAATCTTACCAAATTTAAATACAGTTTTTCAAACCATATAAATCCATAATCTATTAACTACATATTTAAGATGTTAAAAAACGCTAACGATTAAAAGATGGGCAAGAATAATTTAAAGATTCAATTTAGAAAAGCAATAAAGAATTTAAGAAACTCGTAAATATTCCATAATACGAAGCAGATTTTGCTGCATTGGTTAGCATGACTATGATTTGGAAGTACACTCCAGATACCATTACTATGAAAAGTTTTTATGCTTCTAAGCATGAAAACATTTCCAGACCAGATGTAAGTGCATTTCAATCATCATAGAAAGCAACATCCTTTCTAAGACATGAAAGAGAACGCTTTTCTCTACTAAATCTCTTAATCATGTCACACATTTCAAAACTGCATTATTGTTTTTACACAATGTTTTCTACCCCTACACATTTTGAAGAGTTACAAGTAAAAACCCTTCAAAACTTCAATCTCTGAAATCTCTTTTTCTTGATTTATGATTACACGAGAAGGTAAAACTAATTGAACATAATCAGAGAAACACACCAAGTTTTATCAACACTGATCACTTACCTGAACTTAGGATTTTCCACTGTGACTACACCAACTTCTATTTCTGAAGGTTTGAAATCAATGGATAGTACAGTAGACAGGCATGTTATTGCTGTCTGAAAGAATGACAAAACCCCCAATCATTAGAAAGAAAGCACTAAGGCTTTTTTTTTTTTTTCTGACTAGACATAGCATATCTATCTTTCCTTCTGGTTTAAAGTTACTTCCTCTCACTTCAAAATCTCAGCTTAGGAATGCCAAATAGTCTCCCCTTGCTACAAAATACAGTTCCTCTCCAGTCATCTCCCTAAAAAAAGCCCCATCTACAAAAAGCAAAGGACTATGTTTTCATCGCAGAAAAAAACACAACAAAACCAAAACCTTTTATCATGCAAAGATACTGTTTGAAATACCTTCTAATATGAAGACTGTTTTAAATGTCACTAAAAGTTAAGTCATACTGATATCCCCCAAATCAAGCACTGTAGTAACCAAACACCAGGTAACAGCGGGAGTGCTACAATTATAGAATCTGCTTCAGCTAACATAAAGCAAAAAAAGCAGATTATATGACCATTCAAACACTTGCAGAATAGCTTCAAATTATTTTCTGGTTGGAACAGCTCTGGCAGCAATACAGATCTGTAGGGAAAGAGGAAATGCCTAACTACATTTCTCTGCATTGCAAGCCTACATGCAGCCTATCGATTAAAAATACTTTTAACAAATGTTCATTTCCTTCTGCTTGCCTACCTCTACTGTTTGTTCATATGTCCAGTCAAATTTCTTCTTTACTTTCTTTTCAAGAAAACTGGTTGACTCTGTCTGTTTAACTCCTGCAGCTGTGGCCTTGAATCCACAATAGTAACCTGCTGGATCACACTTGTACACCTGAGGACCATGTTCTTCATCAATTCCAATCAAAATCATACCTTAAAGAGAAAATTTGTTAACTTATTTATTTCCCCAATTTTAGCAATTTAATTCAACTGAAGAACAGAACAGATACTCCTCTCTGTGAAAAAACATGTGTGCACAGCAGTACATCTTTGGGAATCAGTCTCATACCTGGAGCTGTGATTTCCTTTCTATCTCTAATTTGCCATTACTTACCAGTATCTCATTACTAGGTGTGAAACTCAGTTTAGCAGAAACTATATTTCTGTCATTCCCAAAGAAGGCTACTCATTAAACATACAAACATTTTTGCCATGCTCAATGTGTAGAGAACCACAAAACCAGGAAATACAGAAGGTTTATCCTGACAGAAAGTTTACGAAGCCACAGCTCACATCCTGTATTACATGACACAAAAGTGTAAACAATAGTTCTATTATCACAAGCCTTTTACTAGAAATCAACTTTACAAACATACTGAAACTAATGGAAATACTAAAAGATTAAATTTAGATTTCTTGTTTGTAACCCTGAAAAACACTGTATTACATACCTTTTCCTCTTTAAATTAAAAAAAATCTGAAATGAAAAGTGGAAATATCAAGACATAACTAAGTCTTTGAAGATCATCTGACTAAGTGTTCTAAAACTGGATAGTTTCTAAGTAACACAAACTGGCCACATCACTGAAATACATGTGCTCACCCTCACTTCTTGATTTACAGCTGCATTGTCTAAATATGCATATTAAAAAGTAAGTCAAAATCAATACTTGCAATAAAAACCCAAAACAGAACAAGGTCATGGTTTTCAATTATTTTCACTTTACACTTGTGTAACTTTTAATTAGTAATTAGAACTTCTGAGCAGCTATTACTACAATAGAAAAAAAATCCCCTTATATTTTCAAAAAAGTTAAGGGAAGTAAAGAAAAATACATTTTTATTCATGTATTTTAAAAAAGGAATTTCCACTAGTATCAAGGCATGGGAAATACCAAAGGAGTAAAGAAACAGTCATTCCTGAAAATTACAAGCACACAAGCATAGGAAAATTGGCCCATCATGGAAACTGTGGCGCAACTCTGAATGTTGCTTCTTTGGTGAGAAGTCTTAGTGCCTACTATGATTACGAGAAGTGATTCATCAATTCTGCAACTACTCTCCTCAAAAAAAAAACCAACAAAACCCAACCAATCAAAAAGAAACTCAGACAGAATGTTTAATGAAAAAGTAACTGAGGAAACCTGTTAGGTCTTTTACCTCAGTTCCTGAACAGCCTAACAGAATAACACACAGATGACCAGGAACATCTACAAAAAATGACTCAACACACAACTTCTTTTTCAGCTTCATTTGCTGTTATGAAACAAGACACACAAATAGAAATATTTGCTAGGGAAATACTTAAGGCACTCTTTCCTCTACATTATATATATGATAGCTAAGTTAGGAGCAAAAATTATGTAATCTGTCCTATACATACTACTTAAAAGGCAACAAAAGCTGCACAAAGGTAATTACACTCTCCATCTCTTTCTTTTAACAGTGCTGTTTACCCAGACACAATGTATTGGGCTTGCACGGCAAGGTTTTAGTAGCGAGTGGGCTACAGGGCTGGTTTCTGTGAGAAGCTGCCAGAAGCCTCCCCTGTGTCTGAAGGAGCCAAAGCCAGCTGGCTCCAAGACCAACCTGCTGCTGGCTGAGGCCAAGCCCATCCACAGTGGTGGTAGTGCCTCTGGGATAATTTATTTTAGAAAGAAAAAAAAAAAAGAAGGAAATGGCAGACAGAGAAGAGAGAGGTGTGAACATGTGAGGGGAACCACTCTGCAGACACAGACAAATGACAGAGGGAAGGAGCTGCCAGAGCTGAGATTCCTCTGCAGCCTGTGGTGAAGGCTATGGTGAGGCAGCTGTGCCCCTGCAGCCCGTGGACATCCATGGTGTAGAGATAGCCACCTGCAGCCCCTGGAGGAGCCCACCAGGGCTGGAGCACGTGGATGCCTGAAGGAGGCTGTGGTCCCATGTGAAGCCTGTGCTGGGGCAGACTCCTGGAAGGACCAGTGGTGCTGTGGAAAAAAGAGCCCACACTGGAGCAGTCTGTCCCTGAAGGACTGCACCCCACATAAGGCAGGCTCCTTGCTGGAGTAGTTTGTGAAGAACTGCAGCCTGTGGGAAGGATTCACTTTGGAGAAGTTCCTGGAGGACTGTGTCCCATGGGAAACACACTGAAGCAGGGGAAAAGTGTGAGGAGTCCTCCCCCTGAAGAAGAAGTAGCAGCAGAAACAATGCACTATGAACTGATGACAGATTCCCTTCCCACCTCCCTGTGCCACTGTGGGAGAGGTAGGGAAGCAGGAATAAAGTTAAACCTGTGAAGAAGATAGGGGGAAAGGGTTTTGAAGATTTGGGTTTACTACTCAGTATCCTATTTTTATATGCTTTTTAATAAATTCAGTTAATTTCTCCAAGGTGAATCTGTTTTGCCCATGGTAGCAATCTGTGAGCGATCCCTCCCTTCCCTTATCTTGACCCATTAGCCTTTCGTGGTATTTTTTTCTCTTTTATGTCTTGTTGAGGAAGGGAGTGCTGGGGAGGCTTTGACAGTCACTTGGCATCCATCCAGAGTCAAACCACCACAAACAGACACAGTTATAAAGAGCATCTCTTGCTCCAGACATCACTGCACAGTGGGAACAGATCAAGCCCCAAAAACCAAGGTGAAATAGTATCAGAGAGGCTACATTATTTCAAATGCAGAGTCAATGTTAAAATCATGGCTCCATTTCAAGACCTACAACACTGCTCTCTCATTCAGCTGTTCATCCCTCTTCTTCCTTCGGTTACTCATTTTGAAAATGGGTGAGAATTTCTTATATATGAATTTGCAAACTTAGACAAGAAACAGTAAAGATAATTTTCATACACTGTACTTACAGCAACCAAGGGGTCTCATTTCAGCATTCTGTGTATAGACCTGAGAAATATCTGCAATCCTTTTACACAGCATATCCACAGGGATGTCATATCCATACTTGTACTTCCAGTTAGCAGCCTCATAGCGGGCTCTCTGCACCTGGGATCTGCTGTCAGCTAGACAAAAAGAACTAATGTTAATTGCACTGAACATGTACCATGTTTATTTCCAGCACTGCATGAGATTATAAATTCCAGGTCCAACTTTACATTGTCTTTAAATGCACCCATTAGAACTAGGTAAGTTCTCCAAAACCAGACTGGTGAATTAAATACCTGTCATTCCTGTCATCACACAACCAATATTTTCAGTAATCTTGAATAAATGAGTCACTGTGTTGGAATCCAGTAACTTGTCCTAAAGAGGAAACAGAAATAATGTAATAGCAAACACTGTCCTAAAAGTAAAAAGAAAACAAACAAAAAAAGGACAAACTAAGAATCCTCTGGGTTTTACAGAAGAGCCCAAAAGGACCCATAACAGCTAAAAATTGTCTTTCAGGCTTTCCAATTTTTACTGCTGTAGGCATACAAAGGAAGAAATTGGAGAATAGGGAAGATTAAAACCACAGATCTGGAGAAGGAGAACAAGAACATGATCAACATCACAGTCCTTTTCCATCTGAAGAAACTTTGAGAACCTACATACAAAAGCTTGATCTCTTATTGCATGCTGCCCTTCAAACATAAAAGAACTTCCCCCCTTTTTCAACAGTATATCATCACTGAGCTGAAATGCTCAAGAAAACTCGTTCTACATGCTATTGATATAACATTTTCTCAGCAGAAATTAAAGAAATCAGGCAACTGGTTACAGACAACTCAGCCTTTACAAACCAGAGCAATGAATGCATGCTCAATACAGCAGGGTCAACTTAGATTTATTCCTTCAAGAACTACAGAGAAAACCAATATTGCAATACTTAGTGAGTAAATGTACAGTTGAGCACTACATGGAGCTAGAACTTGTAATAAGTAAAATGATAATTAGATAGTCAGTTCAAAGAGCAATTTATGTCACTGATAATAAGTATAATATCAATATTGCTGAGTCTCACCCCATCTTTTTTTTCTCCTCTCCTTCCAGACCTCCCCTCAAAAACAGACTACTTACAGGTACTTTCTTCTGTGTTACAATTACTGCAGAATCTTTCCCACGAACAGCTACAGATGTAAGTCCACCTTGGTTTATGGCCTTAAATGCATATTCTAGAAAAATAAACAAATGTTAATTAAAAATTTGTGTCAGACACTAGTACAATTAACTCTGACACACCTTCCCCCAACACATAAATCTCACCGATTTATGGCCTTTTTAATACTTTAAAACTTGTGCAACACTTTGTGTCCTTAAGGTCAGTGTGCATTGACTCTCTTCACAAAACCACTGCCTTAAAATGTTTCTTCTAATTTGACCTTTTGTTCAGTTCAAGCTTAACAGCAACAGAATAAGCTTTAGAACAAAAAGGCTGTTCTGAACTTGATCAACCATAAATTCTTATGGAAGAATTTTGACATGAATTTTAGTATTTTAGAGAATATAAGCTTATTTTCTAATTTTTTTGCGATATAGATGAAAACTGATGACACAGGAGGCACAGGAGACAGGTTTTAACATTACTATCACATTTTCTGACTTGACAATCAAACACTGCAATGCTTTTCTTCACTTTTTATAGTGAAAGCTACACAGGAGCCAATTAAATAGTGTTATCCATGTAAGTAAAATGGATTAAGAAGCAAACACTAAAGTAATTTATTAATGGTTTCAAAAGCCTTAGGAACAACAACTTTAAAAACGGTTTATCTGGCAATATTTAATAAACATTCAGAAATTCCTAGTATCTGGCTGAGTGGCAAGTTTCAGACAGCAGCTAAATGCAGGTGAGTTTTTTGTCAGCTATGCACATGAACCCAGAATTTAGAAAATGTCTACAAACAGCCAGTAAATTGCTAAAACTACCTTAAAATAACTGGAGCAATAAACTTGGCTATTTTAAAAGCTGCACTCTGTAGAAGAGATTGCACAACAGAAGAGTAATAATCTGAAGATGAAAAAAAAATCGAATCTTGCATCTTAATGTTCAATGTGCTAAGTCAGTGTTAAGGAAGGCCTCATTGCTGCGTATTTATGGCACCGTATTTACTACTCTCAGACATGAGAGCATCTACTGGTTACCCAAATGTGCCATAAAGGATGCTCCCCCTTCCCTCTTGTACAACTCTGGTTGATACCCGGGATGACCAGTGCCAGCCTGCAGCAGAGCACAAAACCCAGTAAGACATGGGCCAGCACTGCCTGCAAACTGGTCATGCTTGAAGCCCCAAGCACAGGCTTTGCAACGCTTGTCTGTTTATCTGTACAGCCACCTGAACAGAGGGTGTAAAGCAGACAGACAGAGCCAGCCTTTTTTCAGTGATACCCAGTGACAGGACCAAATCAGAGCTGACTAGAACAAACTGAAACAAGAAGGTCCTCCTAAACACCTGAAAACAAGTTTTACTATGAAAACATGTTTCACCTGAAAACATTTTACTGTGATGCTGATGGGCATCCAGCTCTAGATGGGCCCCCTTGTGCAGGAGCTTGGGGTCAGATAATGTCCACAGAGCCCACCTAATCTCAGCCATTCTGTCGTTGTGTGACACTTAGGTGGCAGCAGGAATAGGAACCCTCACAAACTAGTTTTTGCTCACAACTACCAGCAACCAGGCTTGCTAAACTGCAGCCCCTTCTGGTGCTAACACCACTTCCATTGCTCAGTTTTCAAGGAAACACATCAAAAGGCAAAGCAGCTCTTACAATGTAACAAATCCAAGTTGCTGGTGCTGTTTTAAGTCTGTTTACTACTATTCAAGTATTTCAGCAGCCCTGCAGACATTCACTTCCAAAACAGCAGCCCCTTGCTGTTCCCTGAATACATCACAACAGCCAGAAATTTTACTGTAGTAATTTTCTTCACCTCCCAAATTTCCACTTAGAAGAAACATCACCTTTGAAGATTGAAACTAATACGTAGCAAGAGAACACTGATGCTCTGAGGGATTTTAACCACAGTAATGTGAAATAACTGTTAAGTTTTCTAATATGAGATCACTTCAAAAGTACGTGAGTTTTCTGAGCTTAGGAAGAAGACAGACCTAAGACGAAGTACAGGCATTTCAGTCCAATGTCACTATGTTGGAAATCTCTGTTCCCATACTGCCAAATTCCAGAAAAAAACTCAAGTTTTAAGGCAACCTTAAAGCAACACATGTCCATGCTCATCCTTGACAGTCCCCAGCTAATCTTAATCCAGCAAAGAGACAAAGATAAAACAAAACCCTCTAGATGTGGACATTTGATTGCAAGCAAACACAACGTTTCTGCCCATGCTGTGGCTAGATTCTGGCAAATAGAGACACCCATGCAGCACCTTGCCCGAGTTACCAGCCTGGCTGTGAGTAAAGTGAGCTCATTCTTGCTTGAAGTTAGCTATGCACATCTACATATTCTTCTTCCTATAGCACACAGGTACTTAAAATAGCTTTAAGACAGCTTCAGGCTGTGTGCAGAAGCTCTCAAATACACATGCAGATACTTGTTTCCGAGACACTGCTAAAAGGTATGCAGCTACTACACATTTCTCATACATTAACCTAAGGGCTAAATATACCCCAGAGGCAGAAGACCAAGGCCCAGTTTCCTCTCTGCTACAGAGTGAAGAATCCATTCCCAATAGTACTGTGACAGAGACAGTGAAAAGTGATGCAGACCAACTAGCTTGTCTTAATGGCAGTGGAAGCTCAGAGCCCAGGACTCCTCTGTCACAGAACGACTGAAAACCTGTGTGAGGAAGCACTGTCTCTACCATCCCCAGGTATAAGGGATAATAAGCATTATATATGCTCCAGATATAAGACAGCACCCCTATGTAGGTATCTAGAACAGGTAACTTTCTGTCTGTGTACAAACACCTACACACAGACACCTTCCTAACTCTTCCTTGCAAAAAGGACTGCTCAAGATCGGGCCACCTGTCCACGAGGCCTAATCCACAAAGGCTTCTTCCGGAGAAAAACTCAAGGGCAGTCACAAAAAAACTATATGGCTACCACAGGCAATTTATGCAATCTGACCCCAGCAAGCTCCTTTCCTAGAGAACAGATGGATTTATGGATACAACACAGAGTGGATGTGCAGTGAAGCCAATGCGGCTGGGGAATGCAGCATCAGGATGATGCTGCAAAACAGTTCTTCTGTCCCTGTTGTGAGGATTCTCCAGGAGCACTCTCAAACTACTGTCCTGCCACACTGTGAGCTGACTGTATCCTACACAAGGGGCACCAGCACGCACTGCTGTACAATCTGGAGCACTGCAAAAACAGGAATAACAGAATCAGTGACCTACAAAAGAAGCTGAAGCTTGGCTTCAGATTGTTCCAGGAAACCTGAAAACAAAGGATGGTTGCTGCTATCTCACAGGCCACAAAGTGCAGAACATGCGGCATTCAGGTGTAACAAGAAAGCGCATGAGTTACATCCAAGACTTGACTTTTTCACTCTGGCATGCAGGGTTTGAGGCAGTTCAAATCCCATTTCAAACAGCTATCATAGTTCTCAGATCCCAAAACGCAGTGCTCCGAGGCTTGGCAAGATTCACTCAAAGAAACACTTAAGGGAGACTAAACAGCCTCTGGATAATTGCAAGTTTGGTCTCCAAGCATCTGAAATCGAACACCGAGGACTCCGAAGAGGTCCCTCCCGGTGGCAGGGAACACTCGAGAGAGCCCACCCTGGCTCCAAGTTTCCCTTATCTCATGCAAGGATCCCTTCCCTGGCTCCCCACGCCGGCACGACCGGGGCCACCACTGCTCCACGCTCCCACCAGGCTTTCCCTCACACACCGCGGGACCAGGCCAGGTGGGAGCCGGCACTCCCGAGCCACGAGAGGCGCCGAATCTCCCCCTCCGCACAGGCTGCCGGGCCCGGCGGAGCTTTCGCGAGCCGCCCGCAGCTCCGCTCGGCGGGGAGCGGCGGGGGCGGGGGCAGGCCGGGCCCGTGACGGGGCAATTCGGCGGCGGCCCCGCGGGCCCGGAACGCACCGACTTGGTAGAGGCGGCCCTCAGGCGAGAAGATGGTGATGTGCCGGTCGAAGCCGGCGCTGGAGCCGCGGGACATGGCGGGAGCGGCGCGCGGCCGGGGGGAGCTGTCCGCGTGCAGGGCCCCGCCGCAGCCGCAGGCACCGCCGGAGCGCTTCCGGGTCACGCGCCCACCCCGCGCAGGCGCGCGCCGCTCCCGCACTGTCACGGTCCGGCACCGGCGCTGCGCATGCCCGAGACCCGAGCCCCGCGGCCGCCGCGAGCGGAGGGCGGAGCTGTGTCAGCGGCGGCGGCTCCGGGGTCAGCGAGCGCTTCCCAGCCGCGGAAACTCAGCTGAGAGCCCGCCGGACGTGCCCCGGGAAATGCGCACGGAAGCAGCGGGAAACGCAATAAAAGTTTCATCGCGGCATCCATCAACACTGCATAAAAGTATCACCGGCCAGCCAGGAAAACAAAAGCCCTCCTAAAATTCCAAACTAAGTATTTCCACGTGTCCTCTTCAGTGAGAATAATTTTAAAGCAAGTACCTCAAAAAACATGTTTAAGGTATGCATAGGCAATTGTTGCCGCAGCTGCATTATAATGCGATGTTTAAAAGACTTCTTATCGGTGTCCACTATAAAAGGGAAATTCCCCAAATTTAAACTCGTGATTGAATGTTCTTTTTGCCTTTCAACATCTTGGAATTCCCCTACTCTTTGTGGGAAGGCATTTTTTAAAAGTTGCTCATTAAAAAAGTTGGAAAAGCTGCATTCTGGTATCCACACCTCTATTTTAAAGTTATTATTAGGTGAGCTTATTCTTTGTTGAAATAGCAGAATAAGGGTGGATTTTGTGTATGCCACACATTAAAAGTCTGCATTCTCAAATTTTCCAAAATACTTCTTGCCTATTAGTACTATGGGAGAATAATGTCCCACTATGTATTACAAGACTCAAGAGTTTGTCCCTTTCATTAGGAAAGGATTTTGTGAGCAGACATGAAATGTTTAAAGGGATGATGCAAGCACTGGAACACAGAGAACATGAACATGTAGGACTGCATCTGCTGGGTCAGAAGTGCCAGGCTGATCCAGTGCTCTGTCTCCAAATGTGGCCAAAAGGGGGATACTCAGAGTTAAGACTAGAGAGAGCCTTTCATGATACACTTCTTGAATCCTCTCCCAGTCTCCAACCATCTGGAGGGACTTCCCAAGGCAGGGATGTTGTCTGGTTATTTAGTAACCCTTGCTGGTCTCCCCTTGATGCCAGGTGAACTTGAATCCACAACATGCCATGGCAAAGAGTTGGTCAGCACAATGGCATGTTGTATGGTTTTGTCTGAAACCTCATCTTTTATCTGAACCTTCAATCTGCCAGTACCATTTGATGCTTTTGTACTGGTACAGCCAACAATGGATCCCTAGACATTTCTTCCAGAACACTTGGGATTATTATGACCTCTATGTCTCTTTAGACCAGTTTCTCCAAAATGATGATCCATACCTTTACAGTTCTTCCATCTACAGAGCTCTTTCATTCTCTAAATGATTTTTTCCCCTGAGAAAAAGGGGATGAGAAAATCTAAGTAAATATCAAGTGTTCAGCCTGATTACCAAATAGTAAACAAGAAAATCCTTATGTTTGGAATGAAAGATTCAGTATTTGAATTAGATAAAGGAAAGAGTAATAGTTGCTCAATACCATGGACACGATGGAGTGGAAGTTATGCTACTTTCAGGATTTATCTTCCAGAGTACAGCATTGTTTCAGAACAGCAATCATGCTTTTGGTTTAATGTTATATCACTTCTGATGAGTATGGGCATGGAGTCAAATTCTGTGTTGCAGGATCCTGAGGAAAGCTGTTCTCACTGTCATCAGTGAGATTACATTACTTTTTACCATAGTAAGCAGTAAGTGGGAGATCTTGGAGGTGGTAATGGCTGGCGTGCAGGCTGAATCAGTTCATCTTTCTCAACTCTATCTTGCCAATGTGTCTCTGCTTCCATAGCATAGAGCAAGCTGAGCTAAGGACAGATTTTTTCTGACTACCATTCTCCTCACTCAATGTAATAGCAAAGGGCAGTCAGTGTCTCTTTGGGGGTACCAGGTGCTGAACTGTTTGGAAGACTTGTCTTTCCTGCATTCAGCATGAACCCATCTGTGTAATAAATTACCTTGAATTTTTACTGTACCACTATATAAATAGCAGTAGATGTCAAATAGATCTGCTATTTGTTATCCACTTTGGTTTGGCTCTCACATTTATTTTTATTGCCAGTGAAATCCTCCGAATTCCTTCTAGATATCTGGAAGCAAATCCTGATATTCATTGTTACCTTGAAATGCCGTATTTCAGTAATCTGAAATTTGAAGACTTAGAGCAACACAAAAGAAATGTTATTTCACAGATGTCTTAAATAAAATTCAAATACTGAGCCTCTGGATACAATGTGCATTTATATAACAGTTAGTATACACCTGAAAAAGTCTGTTGGTTCATCATGAATGTTTCCCCTTTGGTTCCACAGAGGCCATTAATTTCCTCTAAGGATCTACAGAGAAGTGTATCAGCAGCAAACACAGAAAAAAGAAGTTCACAAATCTGACACCAATGTTGTAATGCCTTCCAATTGTGAATTCAATATTCTGTTCCATCATCCCCTAAATATACTGGTAATGTGTATTTAGGAAGTGTTATTATTTTTAAGGTATTACAGTATCTCTCTAAGAACAGTTTTTGAGGTGAAACCCAAGTGACTGATTAGGGACATGTCCTGAACAAAAAGGAAGTAGGGAATGCATTTATTACATTTATATGTTAATATTATGCATGCCTGTTAATGACCAGGGTGAGGTAAAATACAAACTTCAATGAGATGAACATGTCTGGCAATGAAATGGGTACCCTGAAGGTGCAGTTTCTGTTCAGCCAGGGTGGACCTAAGGCAGAGCTACTGCAGGGACCCACTTTCTGCAGCCTGACATTTGAACCCCACTCCCACACAGGTACCAGTACTAGTGCAATGCTAGCTGAGTGCAACAATGCCAATTCTGATCCAGCCAAAACAAAATTTTAAGATTCAGCTCTGCATTCCTTTGGGCTGCATGACCATCAGAGCTAGTGCCAAGGGAGGACTGTAACAGCACTGATCCACAGCAGCTTATGGCATGCAGAACTTCACAGAGAGGGTGCAGGAGCCTCATACAGAGCAGCAGCACTAACTAAGCAGTCCTGCACAGGAGCAGACACCTCATTTAAAAGCAGTATTTCCACTTTCAAGGAGACGTGGCAGTTCTCTGACAAAAAGAATTATAAAAGCAATCTTCTGACAAATTAGGAGTATTGAGGAATGAGAAGTAGATCCAATCTCTCTGCTTTCCCTGCTGGACTCCATAGAAGCTGCCACGTTCTGTCAGGAAAAGGGTCTGTGATGAACACTACCAACAATACAATGAATTTAAAGCCAAGGTTTTATGTTACCTTAAGAGGCACCCAGCTCCTCTACACTTTCTGCACAGTACCTGAAGGACATGACTGTATGAAAATCACACCTGCTGGTTCACAAACTGATACCAGAAGTAGAACATGTGTCAGAACTGTTCTGGAAAAAAAAAATAGCAGAGAATATGCTTGAATGCCGAGTCCTGAGGGAGCTTGTCCTAGGGCCCTGCAAGAACTCAGAACTGCAAGTTCTATACAAAAAGATCTTCATGTTTCATCTCAGTTTCAAATTTTTGTATGAGACAAATTTGACAAGCCTAGGATATTTCATCTGAGATTTATGTGGCATTTCTATGTTTTAGGGAGGAGAAAGGTTTGCATTAAAGTATTAAGTGCAATAAACAAACATATTTACATACACACACAAATAACTTAGAACACTTTTCCTGGATATTAAAAATAGTAATTTATACTATTTTTTTGCTTTATAACTTGGGATAGATTTTATAGAAATGGAGAAGAATCAATTTTGTCCTATTATTGTCTTTAAGAATTTCTAGCTATCCATTTTCATTTAAAAAATCCATGCATTTCCATCAGCAAACTATTGCAGAAATGCCAAATCCTGTCAGAAATGGCAAATTTAGGAGTGTGAAAGAGCCACAAAACATTCCACTTGTTGTTTCCCTTATGCTTCCAAAAAATGATTGTTACATGTTCCTCTAACCAATCTCTTGCATTCTATGTGATCAAACAAATTCTAATTAAAGTGAGAAAGTCTTAGGTCTGTGTGTGTTTGGCAAATGGTAAATGCACCATTTGTCCCCCTTAGCTCCACTGAATAGAGGAAGACATTGCACAACACTCTTGCAAGGTCAGCACCACAAATTCTGAAGGCACTTTGCAAGTCTTGTTTAGTATCTTCAATGTAGAGTTTATACATTTCAGTGTAGATGAAAAGCTTAAGAAAAAATAAAAGATAAAAATGCCCAAACTGTAATTCCAACGGGAAAAATCAAGTTTTAGTTCAAATCATAAAAATTGCCTGTACATGGAAATAATAGACCTAATTCATCCCCACTGGACCACCACTGATGTTCAGAGATACATGCAGAAATGATTTTGTCAAAAGCAGTCACTCAATTTTCTTCAGTTACACATCTCACATTTAATCCCATTATTGTTCTGCTGAGTTCTCCTAGTCAGCAACAGTGATTATGAAAAAAAGAAAGCTTCAGCTTGTCCAATTACATTCTTCATCACTTCTGTTGAATGCAGAGCCATTTTCTTGGTACTTGATATGAATATTTTTCCTCAAAAACATCTTTATAGGGAATATGCCATGTATCACCTGTAGTCTGTACCACACAGTCGTAACGGAAAGCAGGCTGTTGAGAGAAAACAGAGGAAAAGCATTTCTTTTTGGACTTTATAAACATATTACTAAAATATCAATTACAGGTAGTTACGACTTCCAATGCTTACCTTAGAAGTCTTCACAGTTCTATCTCTTAACAACTCTCATTTTATTTTCTTATACAAAACAAATCCTAAATTTTAGTACTGGAGGAAAAAACTAAACTATCTTCTAGTATTTTGTGGTCTAGGAGTCATTATAAATTCTGTCTTCAATCAGCACCAGATAATAATGTTGTTGGCATAATGCACTCAATTACTAGAAATGAAAAAATTATTGTTGTTCTGTTCAGTTAAATGAAATCATATGGG